CTGGCATGCACTCCCCTCAGCATGGTGGCGTGGGTATACCGTTCCCCATAGCGACCCCTAGAGGACGCAGTTCGAAGTTCCCTTGAAAGGGAATGTAACCATGGTTCCCTGAGTAGGGAACAAGACACTGCGTCCTTTCGGTTTCCTGCCATGCTTCAGACGCAAGCTTCAGATGAAGAAGCGGATGACGTGTTCGCCTAGACGCAAGCTTCAGACAAAGAAGCGGATGACGTGTTCTCCCAGTGCCTATTTATACTATAGTCGCACCGGTAGTGACGTCATAGGCTGTCGGCAGCCAATGTTATTGTCGTTTTTAGATATATGCTTCAGACACCGGTCACACTGAAGGTGTTCCCCATAGCGACCCCTAGAGGACGCAGTGTCTCGTTTTGGTGGTTACATAAGTTACATAAGTAACCTGAGACGTTCTTCCTATCAGTGTTAATTTCGTTGACGAATAATTTGTCATCAACTACGAGACGATAGCGAACTAAAATTATTTTTGAATGACAAAAACTATCACATAAATCTATTGACAATTTCGTCAACGAATAAAAACGAGACAAAAATGTTAGGGAGGGACGATTTGGGAAGAGATTCATTCAGAACGAATCTGCTGCGTGGCTCTGAGGTTATGCGTAGGCCTACATATGAACCGGCGGGACATAAGCTAAAATACACTTGCTGCACGTCGCATAAAACGTTAAAAAAATGTCAATATGTGGGAGTAAGAGAAGAGCAGACATATGGATAAATCTGACAACGCAAGAGAGAACTCAATTCGGTCCAGTTTTCTGAGCGCAGACACCGTACACACAAAGCGCGTCTCACAGCGCGCGAGTACTCTTTTGCGTCGCATGAACGGAGAATTACACACAAAATTATGTTGAATTATCCGTTTTGACGAGTATTCATGTAAACACAGTTGATTACGTCTTAAGTGAACGTAAACAGTAGGGAGAACGTGTATCAGTACATTGCATCCATTGCAGCTGTGCATTCGGTTTTAAAGGGATAGCAGCCTAATTTAGTTGCTATTGTCCGAGTCATTGATGTTAATCAAGCAACAACAGAAAGACAGAAAATCACTCACTGCTCTTGACTGAAAAACTTTAGTAGCCCTAAAGATGGGGCGAGACTAGAGAGATAATCCAGGTACAAAGCAAAGGTCCAGGCAGGGGCAAACAGTATCCGAACAGGGCAAGACGAGAGAGGTAATCCAAAGTGCACAGGCAAAGATCAGAACACGAGGACTCAGACAAGGCAAGACTAGGCTAAGACTATGAAACTTCAAGTTGGCTCCGTAACGTAGCTATCACAACTAGCGATATGCGCATACAATACTCGGCAGCCTGAAAGGGATCTGAGTGAGTGTTATATAGTGAATGTGTGATTGGTTACAGCTGTGTGCAATCAGTGCAATGGATGATGGGATATGTAGTCCGGGATGACATGCAACAGTTTGTGTAGTGCGAGAGTCAATGTAATGGAAGGGTGACCTCTGGTGGCAAGCAGACGGAAGTTCATGGACCGGATTCGTGACACACATAGTGTGAGAAGAACAGTCATCTGATGACTTTGAAAATTGTGCAGTGTGCATTAGGTTCCCCTATGCTAGCAAGATTTTTACATAAAAATACATCATAGTTTAGAAGTAGTAGGCTATTTTCTATCTGGTTTTTGTCCCTCTCTTTAAAACACATGCCGTTTTGATAGGCGTGCCACATTCAAGACTTGGAAGTAAATGCCCACTGCTATGATTGGGTAACAGTTTTGCATATTAAAATTATAGATGGATGACTGACAATCTGCTGTGATGTACTCTGAAAACAATATGGGTAATTTAGGTTAAAAACATAAATTCACAGTACAAATCAAATTATATGTAACAAAGCAATAGTGACACATGGATCAGTTTCTAAACAAGACAGTTCAAAAGCTCAAAACTGGCTTTGTTTTTTAGAGAGAGATTGAAAATAAAAGATGATGCAGTGCCGACTATGTTGAATAACAAGGAAGGCAATGCAAAAACTGTTTTTCCACAACTTGGCATTGTGCAATGTCTAGTAATCCTCTGAGGCATCTCTATTATTATGTTGCTCAAGTAATCCTGTGTTTGCGTCTTTCTAGCATATACTACATAACTACATTTTTGTGGCATGGCTCATTTTGAAAGAGACAAGGAGTAATAATCAGAAAACATTACCATACCCAACTAGCTATATGTTAGCCAATAATAAGACCTGTGAGAGACAAGCAAGTATACTGCAGCAGTACAGTATACAGCACATATTACAAAGTGTATATTTTGACAAGCTGTTTTTTGCAGGCTTGTTGAGTGTACGGTTACAGAAAAAAGCTGTTCAGATCTTGCTTCAGTTCTCAGTTCAGACTCCAGCAGTCTGAAGGATCTTGACCTGAGTAATAACAATCTGCAGGATTCAGGAGTGAGGCTGCTCTCTCATGGACTGAAAGATAATTGTAAACTGGAGAAACTCAGGTGAGATGATGTACAACATATTAAAAGTCTCTGGGTCTTTTGTTTGAAAATTATTTTTCAATTTGTTCAATTAACAAGCTTTTTAGGAGATAATATTGTTTAGAATGGATTAATTAGTGGATTGTAACATTTTCATTTCTCTTCCAGACTTTCAAACTGCAGTATCAATGAAGAAGGTTATAAAGCTCTGGCTTCAGCTCTGAGATCAAACACTTCACACCTGATAGAGCTGGATCTCAGAGGAAATGATCCTGGACCATCAGGAGTGAAGCAGCTCAATGATTTACTACTTGATCCAAAGTGTAAACTCGAGACACTGAGGTGAGACCTGATGAAATAATACAAAATAAATTACATGTAGACTACTTATTTTATTATAGACAACATAATTTCACTAATGTAATCTGTTGTATTAAAGTAAATTAAAGATAAACCATTTCACGCTTTTTTTTCTATTATAATTAGATGATACACTACATTTTGTGAACTGAATTCAAACTAAGCTTCTCTTCTGCAGGTTTTTGGGTCCTGATGCTGAGAAAGCCTTCCAGTATGTGACTAAAGTTTTGGGTGAAAACCTGTTACTCCTGAGAGAGCTGAATCTGAGTGAACGTGAACTAGACCCAAAACAGCTGGTTCCTCTATTGGTGGATAAACACTGTAAACTTAACATACTGATGTAAGTATTGCCATCAGGACAACACATTTTAGTGTTTTTCGAGGAGTGAAGTGATATTTGAATTACTATGTATTTGTAATCATCCATGACATCAGTTGTCACATACAGCAGTATGTGTGATACAAGTAATAATAACGACATGTGAGAGACAAGCTTTGAGACCATTAAAAATTCAGGAGTGAAGCTGTAATGGACTGAAAGATAACACGCCTTAATGTAGGGAAAACTGAAATTTAGTTTGTCTTTATGCAGTCTGAATAACAGCTCTATCACAGAAGAAGATTGTTGTGCTCTGGTAGCAGCTTTAAATTCAAACCCTTCAAATCTGAAAGAGCTGGTTTTGAGTGGGACTAAACTCAGAGACTCAGAAATGAAGAACTTGTCTACTCTGTTTGAGAATGTACAGTGTAGACTGGAAAAGTTGAAGTAAGTAAATCTTAATATATAAAACAAATGCACAGTGCTGCAAAACAACTAATTTATGGAAATCTTGTTGATTTTGTTTTTTTACTTTGTTCTCTCTTCTATAGGTTGAATTTTATCAGTATTACAAAAGAATATTGTACTGCTCTGGCTTCAGCTTTTAATTCAAACCCCTCAAACCTGAATGAGCTGGACCTGAGTGGGAATCAACTTGGAGACTCTGGAGTAATGGAAATTTCCACTCTACTTGGAAATTCACAGTGCACACTGCAGATACTCAGGTTTGAATTTGGTTAATCTAAATTAACATCCACCAGTCTCCAAAAGTAAGGTTAATAGAAGGGTAAATGTGACACTTTCATTATAGGTTTTTACATTATCTGTGTCTGTAACATCACTTACAGTTGTAAAAATGGTTTAATACATAATTTGTATAGAAAAATATTGACATTGTTTAAATGGAATTGTGTTATTATTCAATGAGTAGTTAATGCATTTGTTGTTCTCTTCTAGACTTTCAGACTGCAGTATCAGTGAAGAAGGTTATAAAGCTCTGGCTTCAGCTCTGAGATCAAACCCTTCACACCTGATAGAGCTGGATCTCACAGGAAATGATCCTGGACCATCAGGAGTGAAGCAGCTCAATGATTTACTACTGGATCCAAACTGTAAAGTAAAACTGAGGTCAGATATGATGAAAAAATGCATATTCTTTTTAGAAATATTTTCATGAATGCATGCAAAAAGTAAATCAAAGATAACTCATTTTATATATAGTTAGATTCTATGTTTCGTTACACCAAATTTAGTAGTGTATTGAATTTAACTTGCTTCATTTTCTCTTTTGCAGGTTTTTGAGTCCTGCTGCAGATGAAGCCTGTCAGTATGTGAATAGAGTTGTGGGTGAAAACCCGTTACTCGTGAGAGAGCTGAATCTGAGTGAACGTGAACTAGGAGACAAAAATGTGAAGAAGCTTGCTGTTCTACTCCAGGATAAACACTGTAAACTCAACACACTGATGTGAGTATCTTACATCGTTTTATATTTTGCAAACTGTCTGTAAATGTTTGAAGTCTAATCAAACAATGACATTGCTGTTCTTTGAAGTATGTGAGCGCTAAAATTAGTTAAACAATCATATAGATTTAACCTTTTGTTATTATAGTTGCGTGTTGTGGTTAAAATAAACAATAATTTTTCCTGTCTTTGTATTCTTTCTCTGCAGGCTGAATAATAACAGTATTACAGCAGAAGGTTGTGCTGCTCTGACTTTAGCGTTTAATTCAAATCCCTCAAACCTGACAGAGCTGGATCTGAGTGGAAATAAACTAGGAAACTCCGGAATTGAGAAGATCTGTCCTCTGTTGGAAAATCCACAGTGCAGATTGGAAAAACTTAAGTATGTATTTCCCCACTGCTTCACTATTTGACTACTTAAAGGGATACTCCACCCCAAAATGAAAATGTTGTCATTAATCACTTACCCCAATGTCGTTCCAAACCCGTAAATGCTTTGTTCGCCTTCAGAACACAATTTAAGATATTTTGGATGAAAATCGGGAGGCTTGTGACTGTCCCATTGACTGCCAAGTAACTTACACTGTCAAGGTCCAGAAAAGTATGAAAGACATCGTCAGAAAATCCGCTGAACGCAAGCAGCGTACGCTATACTGTGTCAGCCGCGACACAAGGATACGTTTTCTACATGTATTTCTACATGTGATTTGAACGAAAACAGCGCATCCGTGCGGTGCGGCTGATCTCAGAGGAAATGATCCTGGACCATCAGGAGTGAAGCAGCTCAATGATTTACTACTGGATGGAAGCTATAAATTAAAGAACATCAGGTGATTAAAGACTTCAAATATTTTTTTAAATTGTACATGCAACAGAAAATAACCTCTAGCCATTATGCTGCAACACTGCCTTTAAGGAAGATGAGAGCTGCAAAAAGAATCACATTTTAGCAAGATTTTTTAATTTACAATTAGCATCTACTTCCTGTAGGTTTTTTAAAAGTCCTGCTGCAGAGGGAGCGTGTGAGTATCTCACTAAAGTTCTGGGTGAAAGTCCATTATTAATGAAGGAACTGGATCTGAGTGGAGATAAATTAGGAGACCTGGATGGAGAGAAACTTTCTGCTAGGGACTGAAGAATCCTGTGTGTGAGCTGAAGATACTCAAGTGAGTTCATTTCACCATCATCTACAGTACACTGAACACTACAATGATCACAGGAATATTTGCACATTTGGTGATGTGCAAAATTAAGCATCGCTAATGGTACGATTATGTCTTCATTATTGATGTATTTATTTATTTATTTATTTTTTAGGCTCAGTAAGTGTTCACTAACAGAAGAAAGCTGTTCAGATCTTGCTTCAGTTCTCAGTTCAGACTCCAGCAGTCTGAAGGATCTTGACCTGAGTAATAACAATCTGCAGGATTCAGGAGTGAAGCTGCTCTCTCATGGACTGACAGATAATTGTAAACTGGAGAAACTCAGGTGAGATGATGTACAACATATTAAAAGTCTCTGGGTCTTTTGTTTGAAAATAATTTTTCAATTTGTTCAATTAACAAGCTTTTTAGGAGATAATATTGTTTAGAATGGATTAATTAGTGGATTGTAACATTTTCATTTCTCTTCCAGACTTTCAGACTGCAGTATCACTGAAGAAGGTTATAAAGCTCTGGCTTCAGCTCTGAGATCAAACCCTTCACACCTGATAGAGCTGGATCTCACAGGAAATGATCCTGGACCATCAGGAGTGAAGCAGCTCAATGATTTACTACTGGATCCAAAGTGTAAACTCGAGACACTGAGGTGAGACCTGATGAAATAATACAAAATAAATTACATGTAGGTGGTTAATTTATATAAATTTGATTGCACTAAAACAGTTGTTGCATCAAAGTGAGTTATTTCAGGATAAAAACCTGAATATTGCGTTTTAAGCAATATTTTCTATATTTTACATTGTACCATAAGAACTAAGTTCCTGTTTCATTTTCTCTTCTGCAGGTTTTTGAGTCCTGATGCAGATGAAGCCTTTCAGTATGTGAATAGAGTTGTGGGTGAAAACCCGTTACTCGTGAGAGAGCTGAATCTGAGTGAACGTAAATTAGACTTAAAGAAAGTGAAGCCACTCGCTGCTCTACTAAAGGATAAACACTGTAAACTGAGCATAATTCAGTGAGTATTTTACTTGGTTTTCATATTGGTGTTTGCATTAAAATATCTTTAACAAATTTTTATTGTATTTTTTGATAATTGGTTAGGATTAACACATATATTAATTTACCTTTTTCATTAGAGCAACTTAAAAATGACAATAATATAAGCCGAAACAATTATGACTAGTTTCATTAAATAGGATTTTTGATAAATTAAAGAACAATTCCTGTCTTTGTTCTCTTTCTCTGCAGGCTGAATAATAACAGTATTACAGAAGAAGGTTGTTCTGCTCTGACATCAGCATTCAAATTAAACCCTTCAAACCTGACAGAGCTGGATCTGAGTGGAAATAAACTAGGAAAAACAGGAATGCAGAATATCTGTTTTATGTTGAAAAATCCACAGTGCAGATTGGAGAAACTAAAGTGCGTATTTTCATTTATCTACATTTTTGTTCATTTGATTAGATTGCATAAATGGAATTTCCAAATCTGTTTTAATTTTAACTACTCTACATTTTGACTATATTATCTTTAAATATTGTAAGAAATATTTAAAAATTAAAATGAGACCAATATTGCTTAATATACTATTATAGTAGTTATTAATATACTAAAGTAAAAATTTTTTTTTAAATATTTTCCATTTTGTCACGGCTAGTATGCAGTATAGATGAAGCAGGATCTACATGCAGCAAAGGTGATTTATTTAAAAGAAATGGCAAAGCTAAATCCAGAAAAACAGAGCAACAAAGCTAATTTCAGAAAACAAAACAAACTAACAATACGTGTACGAGAACTGACCACTGAACAGAACAAACGCAGCTTAGATAAATACAAGACAAGATAAATAACTGAATATAAACAGGTGAGAGCTAATTAATCTGTAACCATGGAAACAAACTGGTGGCGGGAAAATGAGAGCAAAGGAAAACTAAGTCAGGGAAACGAGCTAAACATATTGAAAAAAAAAAACAGAGCATAACTTGTTACACCTTTTCATTTAACCTTAGATATAAAAAACAACAAAAATTACTAAAATTCTATGTTTTTAAATTGAAGTTTGTTATTTTAGTACTTCAACTAAAAATAGAAATGTTGTCTTGGCAAATAACTGAAATAAAATAAGTTTGTTTTTTCCTATATTTTATTTGAACTAAGGAAAATGTTTTTATGGTTTTAGTCAGTTTTATATCTGGTGAAAGTTTTTCAAATATTAAAATAAGTTATCAAGGCACGCTTTGCCACTTTCTATGAAAATGTATTTTTCTATTTAGGTTTTGATTCGTTTTAATAAAAAATAAAAAAAAGAAGACATTTTACTTCATGCATGTGTATTTTGTGTATTTAGCATAGAACATGCTGTACTTAACATGAGCTTTTTTTCCCCATATACAGACTTTCAGACTGCAGTATCACTGAAGAAAGTTACAAAATCTTGACTTCAGCTCTGAAACCAAACCCTTCACACCTGCTCGAGCTGGATCTCACAGGAAACGATCCTGGACCATCAGGACTACAATGGTTCTTTAGTCTGTTTGCGGGTGGAACGAGTAAATTAAAGACCATCAGGTAATAAAAGCATTCAAATATTCCAAAATAAGCCACAAGCATGGAGTCAGGGGCATGCCACATGTTAGGGAGGACAAATGAGCTGGTGTAGACTTGAATGACAGGAAGAGGAATTTAAGAAACTGAATTTCACAAGTCTGACACAAGTTTTATGAGACAAACATAATGTAAAACAAAATAATGACAATTTTTTTACATTGCAGTTATCATAACTATGAATTTAATACTACACTGGACCAGTGACGGCGCTACACCGGGGCTAGGGGGGGCTATAGCCCCGTCAGAATTTTAAATAGCCCCGGTTTAGCCCCCGTTGTCTTATGGTCACTTGTATTAAGCTTGTATATATTTTTTTGAACATGTCTATTCTTTGGCCAAATAAAATTTAAAAGTATTCTTTTAAATGTGGTTTGTACCATAGCTGCTTTTATTAAAAAAAATTAAAAAAAAAATTTCTTTATGAAGTAACTTTGATGTCATGAATATCGATTATTTTCTTAGCACCCCCACATACTGTATTGGTCCTGCTCCCCCTTAGCACCGGTAGAGAAAAAATTCTGGCGCTGTGCCTGCACTGGACCCAAAATCAGGATGGAAGTTGAAAAGAAGTATAAAAGTATAATAAAGTGATCTAATCTATAATTCTCTTCTACCTTCTGTAGCTTTTTGAGAAGTCCTGCTGCAGAGGAAGCGTATAAGTATCTCACTGATGTTCTGGGTACAAATCCATTACTACTGCAAGAACTGGATCTAAGCAGAATTAAACTAGGAGACCAGGATTGGGAGAATATTTCTGCTCTTTTGTTGGACTCTTATTGCAAAGTGGAGAAACTAAAGTGAGTGAATATGATTTTAAACATTATAACTTCTATTCCAAGGGGCAGTATATATATAATGTAAGCAACAACAAAAAAATAGGACCTAAGACAGGTCCTTGTGGCACTCCATACTTCATTGATTTTACTGTTTTTCACTGACAAACAATATAGTAACAGTTGGACAGATAACATCGGAACTATCGTAATGCCTATCCATAAATATCAATATCATTTTTTTAATATATCCAGGAGTAGCTTAGTGCGTCTAGGATCTAGTACAAATGTTGTTGGTTTTGATGCAGTGATCAGTTTTGTTAGCTCTTCCTGTCCTATACCAGCAAAGGAAAGCAATTGTTCTTTGGTGACGATATTGCAAACATTCTGTAATGCTGTACCTGCAACAGTATCTAAAGTGCTAGAGATAGCTCTTTTATCCATTGTGAGGCACAAGTGTGAGCCTATATAAAGATCTGATGATTTGATGTATGCTCAATAAATGAAACACTTTTTCTGTTCAGGCTGAATAGTTATGAGATGACGAGTAAAAGCTGTTCAGTTCTAGCTACTGTTCTCTGCTCCAAAACCACCCTGACAGAGATGAACCTGAACAACAGCCCTCTGCAGGATTCAGGAGTCAAAGAGATCTGTAAGGGACTGACGAAATCTAAGCTTGAAAAACTGAAGTGAGTACATTTAAATTTTTATCATAGCAGAAACTGTTTTATGACATTAGTATCATATATTTATTGGATGTGCTCACATTTAGAAGGGGGTAAATGTAAGATTACCATTATATATAAAGTGATTTCATTCACTGCAGAAACTTATCACATTTTCAAACAAACGTTATGACTTCTCAGTAACCTCACATCAGTGTTATCTCTGAATAAAATACTAATAATATACCAGTACTGAATAAATTCAGAACTATAATAAACCTGTTTTACAATTACATTTTCCTACATTTAAAATGAAATTTGCCACAAACTCAAACCACACATACCCCCAAATAAGAAACTCCTGGTGGTCATTAAATAATTATAATTAACTTAATCATGAATTACAATAATACTAGAAGTAGTATACAGTATCTCACAGATTACTCACAGATCTCACCCTCACTTTTTTGTAAATATTTTATTATATCTTTTCATGTGACAACACTGAAGAAATGACACTTTGCTACAATGTAAAGTAGTGAGTGTACAGCTTGTATAAAAGTGTAAATTTGCTGTCCCCTCAAAATAACTCAACACACAGCCATTAATGTCTAAACCGCTGGCCACAAAAGTGAGTACACCCCTAAGTGAAAATGTCCATATTGGGCCCAAAGTGTCAATATTTTGTGTGGCCACCATTATTTTCCATGTGAGGGGTGTACTCACTTCTGTGAGATACTGTATCTGCATATCTGATTATGTATTCAGCTATAGTATGAATTAGTCATATTTAGTGACCACAACTCATATTTGACTGCACCTTTTTTTCTGTAGACTTTCAAACTGCAGTATCACTGAAGAAGGTTATAAAGCTCTGGCTTCAGCTCTGAGATCAAACCCTTCACACCTGATAGAGCTGGATCTCAGAGGAAATGATCCTGGACCATCAGGAGTGAAGCAGCTCAGTGATTTACTACAGAGTAAAAAGTGTTCACTGAAGACACTAAGGTGGGTTTTATTAAAATAATGATGATAGTGATGATACAGTAGTTTTGAAACTTTAGTTGAAAGAGAATTAAAGCATCATAAGGACATTTATAAAAGCTCTAAAATGACTAAAGAGCCTTTTACAAGCTTGGAAAAAAATGACTATTTGGGTAATTACTTGTGCTGCCAATCAATCTAAAAAATAACTAATTAATTGCACATTATTCTGTAATTAATCTCAATTAATCACACCTAACATTCATATAATTTTATATTGTAATACATAATACATTTAATCTGATATTCTTTTGAATGGATTTGTTTTTCTCAATTTCTGGGGATGAAATGAGTCATGCCTTAGACCGGCCCACATTAGTTCACGACTGACTATATTAAAATAATTTAATTAAAACCTCAGTATATAAGTCTGCAATAGTGCACTTTTTTCTCTACAGCCTTGTAATTCATTGTATTTTTCAAAAATATCATTTCCAATTCAGTGCAAATACAATTCACTGTTGCTTCACAGTGAAGATTTATTGGAACAGTTAGTAACAGTATTCTTTACAACAAAAAATGTAATGTTCAACAGTACCAGAATCTATTTTCTGTAAGAATTAGTGTTCATAAATATCCAAACCTTGAAATGAAAAAAAAAAATGCTGAAGAGCTACAAGAAAAAGTTTGATTAGCCAAACTGGGCCAGAATTAAAGCCATTCAGCATTACAGGATAATTGAAATTCATCATTTTTAATAAGCTTTAAAAATACTTAAAACAATCTTCACATAAACCATTATAATAAATGTCACAGTTATTGCTTTAATTGTTTTTGGCCTATGCAACCTTGTATTATAAAGTTATACAACAACATTTTACATTTCACAGTTCTCAAATATAATTTTTATACCACAACAAAACCTACTAGCCTGACTAATAAAAAGTTCGAACATTTTTAAAGACATGTAAACAATCCATACAAAATAAGAACAAATAAACAAGCAGTAACACAAATAAATACAATAGAACAAAGATACAAATTAAGTGTTTTAAGATTTTCAGGTAGGTCTAATGGTAGTATTTGGGTAAGAAATATAACAGAAATTGAATTATTTAATTGTAAAATGACACGGAATAGTCTTCACTGTATAAATGAAATATAAATTAATCCTTTTTAAAGCTACAAAAGTTATTTTTAGCTTCGATATGTTACCACAATTTAGAGTTATGTAATCCTGTTATTAGTGTGGATGAGTATTTTAATTCATTTAATTCAGTTTGCACTGACATTTTAGATGAGATTGCACCTTTAAAGTATCGTGAATTAAAAACTCAGCCTCAGCCATGGATGTATAATGAAATTCGTATTTCCAGACAAGTCGAATGACCGAGCTAAGATGGAAGAAGGATAGGCTGCAAATATTGTTTGAAATTTTAAGAGAAGCCCTGTCACATTTTCAGTCTACTGTAAAGGCTGCAAAAGCAAATTATTTTTCAAATATTATTAATCAAAACTCAAAGAAGCCAAATATTTTATTTAAAACAATTAATAAAGTGATTTTACCTGCTTCTGTTAGTTGTGTTGAGGGTGATCAAAAGATGTGTGAGGACTTTTTACAATTTTTTTGTAAATAAAATTGATAGTCTCCGGGCACAGATTATTCCTCGAAAAACGGATGACTTGCAGTTAAATTCCTCAAGTTCCTTTACTAGTTTTGAACCAATCTCCTTATTACAATTGGAACATATCTTAAAGGGGTCATATGATGCGATTTCAATTTTTCCTTTCTCTTTGGAGTGTTACAAGCTCTTGGTGCATAAAGAAGATCTGTAAAGTTGCAAAGACTAAAGTCTCAAACCAATCACAGCACACCTTGCTTTTTCAGACCGATGAGCTTTGTAAAAATCAACGTGTTTCAGAAAGGCGGGGCATAGAGAAGAAAGAATAATGTACAGTATGTGGAAAATAATGTGTTTTTTTAACCTTAAACCGCATAAACACATTTCATTACACCAAATACACAAAATAATGTTCGTTTTAGCAGCATCATATGACCCCTTTAAATCATACTACACCAGCGATGCATCCCTTAGATCCTATTCCCCCTCGTTTGCTGTTAAATTAGTTTAATGTCATAGGCACTACTATTCAATCTCTTTTTAATAGTAGTTTAATTAGTGGAAATGTTCCAGCCTGTTTTAAACATGCAGTAGTGCAGCCACTTCTGAAGAAGCCTAATTTAGATTGTACAGTTTTAAGTAATTATCGACCAATATCAAAATTACCTTTTTTATCAAAAGTTTTAGAGAAAATTGTTTTCTCAACTACGTCCATATCTAGATGCAAACGCTGTTATAGACATGTTTCAGTCAGGCTTCAGATCCTTTCATAGTACAGAAACTGCCCTTCTTAAAGTTTTTAATTATATTTTATTAGCAGTTGATTCCGGAAAGATAGTTATTCTCATTCTACTTGATCTTACAGCTGCTTTTGACACCATTGACCATGGTATTTTATTGAGCTGTCTGGAGGATGTTGGTATTAAGGGTACTGCCTTAGATTGGTTTAAATCATATTTAAAGGACAGATCATTCTCTATTTCCAATGGAAATCTGTGCTCTTCGTCGGCTAAATTACGTTGTGGTGTGCCACAGGGCTCCATTCTTGGGCATATCTTATTCTCAATATATATGTGCCCTTTAGGCTCTATTTTTCGAAAATACAATATTATGTATCATCTCTACACAGATGACATTCAGTTGTATATCCCAATTGATTCGAAAGGCTCACAATACTTGAATGCACTTGCTCAGTGTTTAGGTGAGATCAAGGCATGGTTGGCGTGCAATTTTCTACATCTAAATCAGAATAAGACTGAGTGCGTTGTTTTTGGACCCTCTTCTGCATCTAAGGAAATCATAGGTAGATTGACCTCTATGTCGATTAGTATGGCAGACTATGTAAAGAATTTGGGCATTATCATGGACTCGGCTTTAATTCTAGGTAAACAGCTCACTAGTGTTGTTAAGGCTGGGTTTTATCAACTTGGGATTATTAAACTTGGGACTTAAACCAATTCTCTCTTTTAAAGACCTGGAGACTGTCATCCATGCTTTCATATCTTCACGTATTGATTACTGCAATTCGTTATATTTTGGTATATCACAGCGTCAATTATCTCGTCTTCAATTAGTGCAGAACTCTGCGGCTAGACTCCTGACTCATACAAAGAAAAGTGAGAGTATTACCCCAGTTCTTATTACGTTACACTGGTTGCCTGTCAAATTTAGAATTGAATTTAAGGTTTTGTTAATAGTTTTTAAAGGTATTGCACCAAAATATATTGCTAACCTTTTAATACCCTATCAAAATACAAGAAACACGAGATCTTCTAGTCAGATGATTCTTCATGTTCCTAAAACAAGGTTAAGATCAAAGGGTGATAGGACTTTTTCGGTGGCTGCTCCAAGCTTATGGAACCCTCTTCCTATGCACATTAAATCTGCTCCTATCAAAATACAAGAAACACGAGATCTTCTAGTCAGATGATTCTTCATGTTCCTAAAACAAGGTTAAGATCAAAGGGTGATAGGACTTTTTCGGTGGCTGCTCCATGCTTATGGAACCCTCTTCCTATGCACATTAAATCTGCTCCTTCTGTGGATGCGTTTAAGTCGAGTTTGAAGTCTTATCTTTTCAGCGTGGCCTTTAAAACTGGCTAGAGTGTTAAGGTTTTATATGGACTTTTGTGACTGTATGCTTTTTTTTCTTGTTGTTTTAATGTGTCCTGGAATTTTACAGAACATATAACGCAGATAAAATGCTTGAAATGGTGTAATTACTTAGTTTTGTCCAGCAGAGCGCGCTCTATTGTTTGCTACTGGCGACCTGGATGAAACGCTTTAAAGCCATATCTCCATAATGGCGCGGCGAATCCGCACCAAATTCGGGGGATCCCTTCAGCTCGAGGAACCCTCTCGAACGCAAATCGCGTGTACATCTAGAGGCCTGCTTTCGAATGAGACCACCGCCGCGTCGATAGCCCCCGGGCTTTGGGAGTTACGGGTGGTTAAATTCACGGTCTGGCGCCGACCGATCAAGCGATCCCGGGGGGCTACCGACGCGTGGAGGGTGGCGTTCGAGAGGGCCCCTCGAGCTGAAGGGATCCCCCGAATTTGGTGGAGATCCGTAGGCGCGTTCGCGAGATAGTGACACCAGCCAACACTTTCACTTCAGTAAGGAGGTCTCTTGTTCAGGCAGCAGCATTTCTTGTTTTTGGTTTCTCTGATTCATGTTTCAGTCATTCTCTCCGACACAGAGTGTGACAATTGTAAAGTGTACACTAGTCCAACATTAACTCATGTTTTACTAACATTTGTAGACTGTTTATTAACATGACTTACCACTAACAAAGTATTTATTAAGGGAATTTGTGAACATTAACTGATGTTTTACTAACATTTGTGGGTTAATTTCAAAGCAGTCATTATTGATTTTACTGGACCTTAAATGAGTGAAAGCCATTCACACATCACTTACATTTTCAGAAACTTTATTACATATTACATTATTACTAGGGCTGGGCAAGTAAACGCGTTATCGCGTTAACACATTAATTAATTAACACCGACAATTATTTATCACACATTAACGCAGTTTTTATTATTATTATTATTATTTTGAAAGTCCGTTGCTCACTGGCTCTGAATACACACAGACAAACCACAAGAGGAGTGGGATGTTGATCAGTACTGGCTTGGGATGGGTGTCATCACGTGTCTCAACCAATGAGAGCATTTGGGGAGGGCCTAAGACTGCAGCAGTGCTCACATGAACGGCGCTCCCAATAAAATTATTTAGGCTAAGCATCAACATTCACAAACTACTGTTCACAGTTATTTTTAACAGAAAAGAATGCAACGAGCTCGTAATCGCAACTTGATAAGTGGGAAATAGGAAGTTTCCTGATAGCACATGAAGACAGCAGAGAAGTGCTCTCGCTCAGCACAGTGGAGTGCATCGTTTTGTTAACTTTGTGGTTTATTATTTTGAGTCGTTTGGGACGCGGTAACACACGGCCCTCTAACAATATATTGCTTTACAGATCTATCACTTTTGCCGCTCAGAAATGTACACGCAATCATGCTGAACCAATAAATTAAATAAATAAATGAACAAACAGAAGAAATAGGTGTTTCTAAATAAAGAGAATCTGAAAGTGAGCAAGCATGGTCCGGTTAGGCTGGACAAATAGTTGGTAGTCACCGTTGCGTATTAAAGGTGCTATTTTCGATGCATGTTCTTGAAAAGTCTTCCAAGAGGACCATTTCTATCCCGCTTTCCAAACCAGTAAGTCCACTCTATCAGATGTTTTTTGTTTTAGTAGGTCATCCATCCTATTCCCGCGGGCGATTTAGCCAAAACCCGAGAACAAACGTGCACGCGCTCGGTAGATTGTCACATGAAATGAAACTATTTCCAATCAGAAAATGAGCTGTATTCACACCGTCCCCACGACTTCATCCAAACCTTTTTCTTTTTCCCCCTCGCGAATTTTTGGTAAAAAAGAATCCAAATATTATTATCGCCATTTCTTCTTGCACGTCATCCGCCATTTGTTTACTCTAAAGCAGGGTTCCTCAATAGGATCTGTTAGTGTGTGGTGTGCTGTCTTGGTCACGACACTCTACACACTATAGGAACAAAACTGTTAAATCTATGGGTTTTTTTTTAACTTATTTTTGTGGACTCTAACATTTTGAAAATCTGATAAGCTTTTAAAAATCTTTTGTGGGGCAGCCTTTAGTAATTAATTTGTTAGTGGTAGGCCTAAGTCATGTTAATAAACGGTCTACAAATGTTAGTAAAGCATCAGTTAATGTTGGACTAGTGTACACTTTACAATAAGGTTCATAAATTCCCTTAATAAATACTTTGTTTTGTGGTAAGTCATGTTAATAAACAGTCTACAAACATGAATAACATATCAGTTGATGTTCAGATGGATTCCACTTAAGAATTAAGTTTACCAATAGCCCAAATCAGTGCCCAAATGGTGAGTTAGTATTGTTTATCCTTTGTGTGTGTTAGCTGCTACATAAACTTGTGTATATATGTAGCATAATTAAATAAAGCTTGTTAAATAAAGCTATTTACAGGCATAGTTCATTGTTAGTTCATATTAACTAATGCATTAACCATCGTTAACTAATTAAGCTGTTAATGTGAAGAGAAGCAGTAGTATATGTGTAAGCTAACATTAACAAAACATTAAGTAATTCTAAACAAATGCATTGTTCATTGTTAGTTCATGTTAACTAATGCATTAACTAACATTAACTAATACAACCTTATTGTAAAGTGTTACCGTTGTTTTAAATGTGCTATAGAAACAAAGTTTGTATTTGTATTGTATTCAGTCAAGAGAAGTGAGTGATTTTCTCTTTTTCTTTTGTTGTTTGATTAACATTAATGACACAGACTGCAGCAGATTTATTAGGTTGCTGTCACTTTATGACCTGATGCACATGACTCAGATCTGACACGCATCCCATTTTCTTGCAGTAATGCTAAATCATAAACAATACAATTATTTAAATGTGGTCATCTGGACTGAATTAAGTTTCATTTTACATCTCAGGGCATATGGATAATTCGCAGAATGAGCAATGGTATATTATTCTTGCTTGTTCTTCAGTATTTGGCGATACTTTAGGCCTATAATCACTATCCAGTCAGTCTGTGTTTACCTGGACTTGGCAAAACAGAATGCAAAAAATAAAAATAAAAAATCATGGATGACTGAAGAGTATGAATCTTATGAAACAGTTCTTTTGTTTATTAATTCTTGTTAAGATATATATATGTGTTATGTTACTGATAGCTAAACTAATTATACAACATTTTTACTTTGTATGGAAAGTAACACGTTCATTTTTGAACCAGTTGTTGTTGTTTCACGGTCTTGGCTGTGAGCGCGCATCCAAAGGCTTATGTACAAAGGTTTAAACCACGTTTTTTGTTTTTTTGTCAAAACGATGAAAAGTGTTTTTAAAATTATGCAAGTTAGTACTTGCTGAAAAAATGTTTTATCTGCCACGTCGGTTTGATCATGTGTTTTATCATGTTTATGGCAAACATGGCAAAAAATATTTTTCCAAAACGTGCATCTCTAACGGCAAATAATGTGTTACTGTATTTCATCTGTCTCCAGGTTTTTACAAAGTCCTGCTGCAGACGTTTATCAGTATTTGACTAGTGTTCTCCACACAAACCTGCTACTCGAGAGAGAGCTGAATCTGAGTGAACGTAAACTAGACTTAAAAACTGTGAATCAGCTCGCTGCGCTACTGCAGGATAAACACTGTAAATTCAACAAACTTCAGTGAGTATTATTTTCATTTATTATTGTAGATTAAAGTGATAAAGTGTCTTAAAGAAATCAAGTGACCAAAATGCAATATTTCTATGTGATCACTGAATATAATTCCCATCACATACTATGTGCTTGTAAATTCTTCTCTCATGTTCAACATTTTAGGCTGTGTGGTTGTGGTCTAGCAGAGCAAAGCTGTTCAGCTCTTGCTACAGTCCTGAGATCAAACTCCAGTCTGAAAGAGCTTGACATGAGCAACAATAATTTGCAGGATTCAGGAGTGAAGAAACTCAAGAGTGGATTAGAAAATACAGACTGCACACTGGAGAAACTAAGGTCTTTTTGATTTAAAAATAACATTCTTACTCCAGTTCATTACTCCAGTAACCTAGAGGGAAAATATGTTTCTGTCAGATGATCTCAACTGACTGTTTTACAATATTAAACAATTCTTCAGTGATATTAATTGTAAAATAATTTTTAATATAACTTCAAATCTCTTTTCTGTAGACTTTCAAACTGCAGTATCAGTGAAGAAGGTTATAAAGCTCTGGCTTCAGCTCTGAGATCAAACCCTTCACACCTGATAGAGCTGGATCTCAGAGGAAATGATCCTGGACCATCAGGAGTGAAGCAGCTCAATGATTTACTACTGGATCCAAACTGTCAACTCGAGACACTGAGGTGAGACGTGAAAAAAAAAAAAATATATATATATATATATATATATATACAGGCTGATTTTTTTAGAAATATTTCAATAATACAATATGTTGTGGCATTAAAGTTAAAGTGATTTCAGGATTTAAAAAATGGCTACTTGGGCTTTAAGAAACGTTTTCTAGATTTTTCATTACACCACAAAAGGCGAGAATGAATTTAACTCTGCTTTTAATTTTACAGGTTTTTGAGTCCTGAAGCAGAGAACGCATGTAAATATGTGCCTGGGCTTTTGGGTAAAGATCCCCTACATGTGAGGGAGCTGAATCTGAGTGAACATAAACTAAAAGACATGCACATGAAGTATCTTGCTGCTCTACTACAGGATAAACACTGTAAACTCAGCACAATTCAGTGAGTATTTCACAGGGTTTAAAATGTTACATTATTTTAGTATTGTTACTGTAGTATTGCATTAAAATTAAACAAACTTCTATCCAGAGGTTTGTGAAAAGAAGTGACATTAAGCTTTAAATAGTTGGCTAAGCAAGTGTAACGGACGAGCATGACAACAGAGCTAGAGATCCAAATGCAATTTTATTAAACAGATCGTAGTCAAAACAGGAAGGGTTGAACACCAGCAAACAACAATATCAGAAGGCAAGACAAAAGAGTAATCCAAATACAAGCAATGGTCAAGGCAGGCAGTAAACGATCACAAAAACTAGGAAACAAGCAGCGCTGCCAACTGCTTTTAATTAAAAAGTAGCTAAAACTGGTAGCTAAATGTCATTAGATGACATCATAATGGTAATTTCACTGATCTATATAAAGATTAATATAGATCAGTGGGCAAGATGAGAACTTAGATTAAGGGTTGTCCAAGAAGCTGCTATATTTGTCCATAAACGTTTGAAAAATGTATCAAAAGGGGTGGGGAAGTCGCTAAATCTAGCTACAAATTTGCTAAATTGGCAACACTGGAAACAAGGCGAGGCAAGGCAAAAACATAGGAAAAATGCTCAGTAGTGTCCACATACATCTGAACAAGACTTCACCCAGTGAGTGTGTTTGTGTGCTACTTAAATAGTCCAGATTATCGGGAACAGGTGAGGGTGTAATCAGTTCCCAAGCAGGGGATTGTGGGAAATGGAGTCCGGGAGGAAAAGGAGATGGAGACCTCTGGTGGTGAGCAGGAGGAACCACAGGGACCAGATTCAGATTCATGACAGCAAGACAGTATTTATTTTAGTTAATTCTATATTTATTCCAGTTTATATAGACACGATATAACCAGGCTAATGAAAATATTACACCAAAATGATAGATCTTGTTACTTGTGGATCATCGTGCCTTGACCAGAAATGTTAAATCCAGCCGAATGCTGACCCAACTTCAATCGGCAGGAATACTCTGTGCTCAACCTCTCTATCCACTATAATGTGGTTTGATATGCATATAGTCAAAGTCAAAAATTTATATTTTCTAGGGGTGTGAACCTACACTGGTCTCATGGTTCGGTTCGATTACGAGTATCATGTCATCGATTCGGTTCAACTCGATATCACAATGCATTGACGATGCACTGCATCCTCAATTTTCAGTTTTACTTCACATGTATACAATTTTGTCAATAAATACAAGCAGTCAGATATATGAACTGAACCTTTAATTTTACCTGCTCAAAGAAAACACGCTTCTTGAATGAATCAAACAAACAAAACTCAAATCTGGGCACAGAAGACAACAGGAGCATTTAGAACAAATACACAAAAGTAAATACTAAAAGTGCATAATGCAAGGAGTGTACTTTAGTACTTATATAGTGCAGTGTACTTTCTTGTAAAACATTTAAATATTAACAAATGTATAAACATGAAATTAAATTATACACGAAAATAAACTTTAGTACTTATATAGTGCAGTGTACTTTCTTGTAAAACAAATATAAACAAATGTATAAACATTAAATTAAATTATACATCAAAATAAACAAAAGGCCACACCTACTTGTGAATATAGTCAATCTTCAAAAAAACTAAATTTGCACTTCAGCAGTGTTTTAATACACAAAATAAAAGACCTTTTGTTTGGGAGCAGCAGAGGGGCTGTCCTCCATGGATGTGTCTTCTCCTAGAGTTCCTGTTCCATCAGGTGCTTCATCCACATCTGTCCTTCTAGGTGTACACTCTTTTTGTGTTTGAACAACATAATTGAAAATACAAATAAACTAGTAGACAGTGACAGTGCACTCAGTCAATACAGCAGCTCACATATATTAGGATTATAACTGTTTTTCAGTTTTAATTAAAAAAAATATTAATATTTAATAAATTACTTAAACACTCATAATATTAATAGTAGCTTAAATGAGTTAAAATGTTAAGTTTGTTTTAATTTTATATATTGTACAAGAAACATGATAGAATTACCTCCAAGGATGCAGCCTCCTCTGTCAGTGCTCTGTATACCTCCAATCTCTCCTCTTCTGTGAGAAAAGGCATGCCCTTAAAGGGGTCATATGATGCGATTTCAAGTTTTCCTTTCTCTTTGGAGTGTTACAAGCTCTTGGTGCATAAAGAAGATCTGTAAAGTTGCAAAGACTAAAGTCTCAAATCCAAAGAGATATTCTCCTTCGTCGAATCCGCCGGACGCTCCTCACTCTAGGCCTCCGTGTGTTTAGTTGTGAAAGCGAAACTACTTTGCTTGGTCTTCCAAAAGAGGACACGAGGTGAGGGGCGTAACATTTCCGTCACACGGTTGAGGTATTCGGCCAATCACAACGCACTGGATAGCTGTCCAATCACAGCACACCTTGCTTTTCAGAACAATGAGCTTTGTAAAAATTGACGCGTTTCAGAAAGGCGGGGCATAGAGGAGAAACAATAATGTACAGTATGTGGAAAATAATGTGTTTTTTTAACCTTAAACTGCATAAACACATTTCATTACACCAAATACACAAAATAATGTTCTTTTTAGCAACATCATATGACCCCTTTAAATCGGGGATCCAGGGCAGAGGCTGTATGAAGGACTCTGACTCACTGTTGTACCTCTTCAGGAGATCTGTTCTGATTGCATTCTTGATCTCATGACATCAGTGTTGTGGCATCCTTCATTGGCTTTAATGCCCTCACAGCATCCTCTGCATTTGTCACATCTGTTTCAGTGAGAGTGCACAGATCTGTCTCTCCTTTTCTGACTTCTGGTGACAGCGAGGTAGCACAAATTGCAGGTTGTTGTTCCAAGAACCTCTCGACCATGTCGTATGCGCTATTCCACCTTGTTGCAACATCAGTTATCAGCTTATGATTTCTCAGGCCAAGCCTGGAGAGGGTGGCCACTTTAAGCGCGCGCGTGCGACGTATGTGCGAAGCATTTTACGTGAGGGAATGTTCCGAATTGAGCTGCAGCGATCATGTTCGATGCATTATCTGTCACAAGCACTACATCTTTATCCGATAGCTGCCATTCCTCCACGACATGAGACAGTAGCTCTGCCAGATGAACACCCATGTGAGACTCATAAAGGCTCTTGTTTTGCAGCACATGTGACAAAATCTTCCAGTCCTCGCTAATGTAATGTGCCGTTATTGTCACATATGGCTCATTGATGCCATTACTTGGGCTTTGGTTTCGTGGTAGAGTTCCGGCATAATCTTTTCAGAAAATTGGCTGCGTGAGGGGAGCTTATACCGCGGCTCCAGTGCATTCAACAGGTGGCGAAACCTGGGGTTTTCTACCACAGAAAAGTACCGTATATCCTTTGTAGTTGCAGCATTTTTATTTACTCACGCTCGCGGCCTGCCTCCCTCCGCCATTGTATGCTACCGCGACAAAGCACGTATGCGACAAATGACGTCAGAAAAGCGTCAGTACGTTATAATTGTTTATGGTCTATTACTGAACCGATACCGAATCTGTCACGAGCCGGGCTTGAACTCGGGTCTGTGGCGTGGTAGTTGAGAGATCTACCACTAATCCACGGGAGTGGTAATGTTGGACCCAAACGAAACACTTGAGGCAGTTTCCCAGGAAATGTAGATTTATTTTTTAAAAAAGTCTTTGCAAGAAAAATCCGGGCGGCCTTAGAGAACCGGTCCACAACCACCAGGATGACAGTGTTGCCCTGGGATGGTGGGAGTCCCGTGACAAAGTCCAGAGAAAGGTGCGACCATGGCCTACGGGGAATGGGTAAGGGATGGAGCAGTCCCTGAGGTCGCTGATGTGTAGACTTTCCCTGGCTGCACACGGGGCAGGCCTCCAAATAGACCTTTACATCCTCCTTGATGGATGGCCACCAAAACCGCCGCTGGAGGAAGTCAAGAGTGCGAGCATTTCCCGGATGGCACGTCAAGGGAGACTCATGACCCCACTGCAAGACCCGGGCCCGGGCAGATTGAGGGACGTACAGGTGTCCCGCGGGACCACCTCCTGGGTCTGGCTCTTGGGCTTGAGCCTCTCGCACCACCCTTTCCAGTTCCCACTGAAGGGGCGTGACAATTCTAGACTTTGGAATAACCAATGCCAAAGGCTTCTCCTGGATCTCGGGAGAGTAGGCTCGGGAAAGGATGTGATCACGTGTCCACATGTGTTTCACATGGAAATTTACATGTATTTAACATGTGATCTCATGGGTTTCACATGGGATTCACACGTGATCCCATGTGTTTCACATTAGAATATACATGTGTTTCACATGGTAATATACATGTGTTTCACATGTGATCTTATGTGTTTGAAATGTGATCTGTCACGAGCCGGGCTTGAACTCGGGTCTCTGGCGTGGTAGTTGAGAGATCTACCACTAATCCACGGGAGTGGTAATGTTGGGCCCAAACGAAACACTTGAGGCAGTTTCCCAGGAAGTGTAGATTTATTTAAAAAAAAAAGTCTTTGCAAGAAAAATACAACAAAAGGTCTTCTCGGACTGAGGTATTAACTACAGCAAAAATAATGGAAAAACCACATGAGAAAACAAAACTCCACGAGGGGAGAAAACAAAACCAGAGAACAATTATAACCAAAGAAAGAAACTCAGGAAACCTTACTTGGGGTAGCTAGAGAGGCTTTAGCGAGACCAGGCAGGAGACACAGGGCGAAGACTCAAAAACCAAGTGAGGAACCAAGGGAAAAATACACCACTAAATACACTGGGGAAAACAAGGCGCAGGTGACTTGGATAACGCTAACAAGGCCACACGAGGAAGAACTAAGGCAGAGGAAAAAACAGGGGACCTCTAGGGGCACGGAGACAAACTACAGGAGGTAGGATGCTGACAGAATCGTGCTCGTCTGCATCGCGATGCATCGTAGAAACGATTAATTTCGACACCCCTAATATTTTCTCAAAGAAAAGGCAATGGAAAATTGCTGCTTCGCAACCATATACAAGTTTTCTATATTGTTTTATATTAGAAATATATTAAATTATATAAAACGAATCAGTATATGTATTTAAAGAGAAAGTAATTTAAAAGAGATAAAGAAACACCAAAAACGATGTACAATGCAGACATTTCCAGACAAGTTTGCTTTTATGAAACTGCACAAATATCTTATTGGGTCATCTTGGATCTATTGTTATTTTTCTCTTTTTGTCATCAGACTGTTTAAATGCAGTATTACAGAGAAACAGTGTCGCATCCTGACTTCAGCTCTGAAATCAAACCCATCACACCTGAGAGAGCTGGACCTCAGTGTCAGTCAAATAAAAAACACAGGAGTGAATCACTTATGTGACGTACTGAAGGATCCACACTTTAAACTGGAGAGACTGAGGTGAGGAACATTCACATACAAGAATCTAGAAGAGTTTTTATAGATATTTAGATATTTAAATGAAACAGAATGAAGTGTGATTTTCTCATTTCTCTAAATGTAGGTTAAGATGCTGTGAAATGACAGATGAAGGTTGTTCTGCTGTGACCTCAGCTCTGAAATCAAACCCATCCCACCTGAAAGAGCTGGACCTGAGTGAGAATAAACTAGGAGACTCTGGAGTGAAAAACCTCAGTGATTTACTGATGAACCCACAATGCAAGCTGGAGAAACTAGAGTTAGTGACATTAAACTGTACAGCAGTTACAGTGTGATTAAAGTTTAGACAATGAGGCATAGATAATGTTTATAGCACTACACCTTTTGGCATTTCCCTATTGGTCACACTTAATATTAGTTGTCTTTAACTAGTAAGCAATTGTTTCTTTTAAAGTGTTGTGAATTGTGTACAGTAATGCAGAAATGTGCATCTACAATGAAGATAAAGAAAGGATAAATTAAAAAAATATTTGTTAAAAAAAATAACTTATTAGTGACAGGGTTAAAACAGACTATGGGAATTAAACTAATTACATGCTATAGCAATAAGGTGGTCATTGTATATCTAGCCCATTTTCATTTTTCATGTATTCACATACAGTACATGACAGAAAAAAGTGTTTGTAGTATTTAAATGGAAAAAAAAGAACAACATCATCTCAATTCTCTGAATGTAGGATAAGTGGCTGTGAAATGACAGATGAAGGTTGTTCTGCTGTGACTTCAGCTCTGAAATCAAACCCATCCCACCTGAGAGAACTGGACCTCAGTGTCAATCAAATAAAAAACACAGGAGTGAATCACTTATGTGACGTACTGAAGGATCCACACTTTAAACTGGAGAGACTGAGGTGAGGAACATTCACATATTAGACAGAAAAAAAATGCTTGTGGTATTTCAATGAAACTGAATCAAGTGTTTCTTCATCTCATTTCTCTAAATGTAGGTTAAGATGCTGTGAAATGACAGATGAAGGTTGTTCTGCTGTGACTTCAGCTCTGAAATCAAACCCATCCCACCTGAAAGAGCTGAACCTGAGTGGTAATGAATTAGGGCAGTTGGGAGTGACAAATCTCCGTGATCTACTGATGAACCGACAATGCAAGCTGGAAATACTTAAGTTAGTAATATTATGTACAGTACGGCAATCAAAATTTACTCTATTTTAAATAAACATGACTGATCTTATTGTGTATGATTAAAAAAAATAGTATGTGTATCAGTAGAAATAGCATTACACTTTGATGCATTTAAAAGTTTGTGGCTGTAAAATCTAACAAATCTTTAAAAGTCCATTTAGATTAATCTTATATCTTGGTCTACAATGATAAAGCGAAAGCTTTTTTGTCTGAGTAATAATGGTTCCAGACTAGGATTGTAACTGTGGGTTAAACCCCCAGTATCCTCAAATCCTAGTTAAGCTTCTCTCCTGGTTAATGGTTATACAATTGTTTTTAGGTTTTCGGTGGTGTGTTATTGACTGTATGGCATTTATTCAATGATCTGATATATTTTCATTTCTCTTTCTGTCTTCAGTCTGTGTGGATGCAGTATTACAGAGAAACAGTGTCTCATCCTGACTTCAGCTCTGAAATCAAACCCATCACACCTGAGAGAGCTGGACCTCAGTGTCAATCAAATAAAAAACACAGGAGTGAATCACTTATGTGACGTACTGAAGGATCCACACTTTAAACTGGAGAGACTGAGGTGAGGAACATTCACATATTAGACAGAAAAAAAATGCTTGTGGTATTTCAATGAAACTGAATCAAGTGTTTCTTCATCTCATTTCTCTAAATGTAGGTTAAGATGCTGTGAAATGACAGATGAAGGTTGTTCTGCTGTGACTTCAGCTCTGAAATCAAACCCATCCCACCTGAAAGAGCTGAACCTGAGTGGTAATGAATTAGGGCAGTTGGGAGTGACAAATCTCCGTGATCTACTGATGAACCGACAATGCAAGCTGGAAATACTTAAGTTAGTAATATTATGTACAGTACGGCAATCAAAATTTACTCTATTTTAAATAAACATGACTGATCTTATTGTGTATGATTAAAAAAAATAGTATGTGTATCAGTAGAAATAGCATTACACTTTGATGCATTTAAAAGTTTGTGGCTGTAAAATCTAACAAATCTTTAAAAGTCCATTTAGATTAATCTTATATCTTGGTCTACAATGATAAAGCGAAAGCTTTTTTGTCTGAGTAATAATGGTTCCAGACTAGGATTGTAACTGTGGGTTAAACCCCCAGTATCCTCAAATCCTAGTTAAGCTTCTCTCCTGGTTAATGGTTATACAATTGTTTTTAGGTTTTCGGTGGTGTGTTATTGACTGTATGGCATTTATTCAATGATCTGATATATTTTCATTTCTCTTTCTGTCTTCAGTCTGTGTGGATGCAGTATTACAGAGAAACAGTGTCTCATCCTGACTTCAGCTCTGAAATCAAACCCATCACACCTGAGAGAGCTGGACCTCAGTGTCAATCAAATAAAAAACACAGGAGTGAATCACTTATGTGACGTACTGAAGGATCCACACTTTAAACTGGAGAGACTGAGGTGAGGAACATTCACATATTAGACAGAAAAAAAATGCTTGTGGTATTTCAATGAAACTGAATCAAGTGTTTCTTCATCTCATTTCTCTAAATGTAGGTTAAGATGCTGTGAAATGACAGATGAAGGTTGTTCTGCTGTGACTTCAGCTCTGAAATCAAACCCATCCCACCTGAAAGAGCTGAACCTGAGTGGTAATGAATTAGGGCAGTTGGGAGTGACAAATCTCCGTGATCTACTGATGAACCGACAATGCAAGCTGGAAATACTTAAGTTAGTAATATTATGTACAGTACGGCAATCAAAATTTACTCTATTTTAAATAAACATGACTGATCTTATTGTGTATGATTAAAAAAAATAGTATGTGTATCAGTAGAAATAGCATTACACTTTGATGCATTTAAAAGTTTGTGGCTGTAAAATCTAACAAATCTTTAAAAGTCCATTTAGATTAATCTTATATCTTGGTCTACAATGATAAAGCGAAAGCTTTTTTGTCTGAGTAATAATGGTTCCAGACTAGGATTGTAACTGTGGGTTAAACCCCCAGTATCCTCAAATCCTAGTTAAGCTTCTCTCCTGGTTAATGGTTATACAATTGTTTTTAGGTTTTCGGTGGTGTGTTATTGACTGTATGGCATTTATTCAATGATCTGATATATTTTCATTTCTCTTTCTGTCTTCAGTCTGTGTGGATGCAGTATTACAGAGAAACAGTGTCTCATCCTGACTTCAGCTCTGAAATCAAACCCATCACACCTGAGAGAACTGGACCTCAGTGTCAATCAAATAAAAAACACAGGAGTGAATCACTTATGTGACGTACTGAAGGATCCACACTTTAAACTGGAGAGACTGAGGTGAGGAACATTCACATACAAGAATCTAGAAGAGTTTTTATAGATATTTAGATATTTAAATGAAACAGAATGAAGTGTGATTTTCTCATTTCTCTAAATGTAGGTTAAGATGCTGTGAAATGACAGATGAAGGTTGTTCTGCTGTGACCTCAGCTCTGAAATCAAACCCATCCCACCTGAAAGAGCTGGACCTGAGTGAGAATAAACTAGGAGACTCTGGAGTGAAAAACCTCAGTGATTTACTGATGAACCCACAATGCAAGCTGGAGAAACTAGAGTTAGTGACATTAAACTGTACAGCAGTTACAGTGTGATTAAAGTTTAGACAATGAGGCATAGATAATGTTTATAGCACTACACCTTTTGGCATTTCCCTATTGGTCACACTTAATATTAGTTGTCTTTAACTAGTAAGCAATTGTTTCTTTTAAAGTGTTGTGAATTGTGTACAGTAATGCAGAAATGTGCATCTACAATGAAGATAAAGAAAGGATAAATTAAAAAAATATTTGTTAAAAAAAATAACTTATTAGTGACAGGGTTAAAACAGACTATGGGAATTAAACTAATTACATGCTATAGCAATAAGGTGGTCATTGTATATCTAGCCCATTTTCATTTTTCATGTATTCACATACAGTACATGACAGAAAAAAGTGTTTGTAGTATTTAAATGGAAAAAAAAGAACAACATCATCTCAATTCTCTGAATGTAGGATAAGTGGCTGTGAAATGACAGATGAAGGTTGTTCTGCTGTGACTTCAGCTCTGAAATCAAACCCATCACACCTGAGAGAACTGGACCTCAGTGTCAATCAAATAAAAAACACAGGAGTGAATCACTTATGTGACGTACTGAAGGATCCACACTTTAAACTGGAGAGACTGAGGTGAGGAACATTCACATATTAGACAGAAAAAAAATGCTTGTGGTATTTCAATGAAACTGAATCAAGTGTTTCTTCATCTCATTTCTCTAAATGTAGGTTAAGATGCTGTGAAATGACAGATGAAGGTTGTTCTGCTGTGACTTCAGCTCTGAAATCAAACCCATCCCACCTGAAAGAGCTGAACCTGAGTGGTAATGAATTAGGGCAGTTGGGAGTGACAAATCTCCGTGATCTACTGATGAACCGACAATGCAAGCTGGAAATACTTAAGTTAGTAATATTATGTACAGTACGGCAATCAAAATTTACTCTATTTTAAATAAACATGACTGATCTTATTGTGTATGATTAAAAAAAATAGTATGTGTATCAGTAGAAATAGCATTACACTTTGATGCATTTAAAAGTTTGTGGCTGTAAAATCTAACAAATCTTTAAAAGTCCATTTAGATTAATCTTATATCTTGGTCTACAATGATAAAGCGAAAGCTTTTTTGTCTGAGTAATAATGGTTCCAGACTAGGATTGTAACTGTGGGTTAAACCCCCAGTATCCTCAAATCCTAGTTAAGCTTCTCTCCTGGTTAATGGTTATACAATTGTTTTTAGGTTTTCGGTGGTGTGTTATTGACTGTATGGCATTTATTCAATGATCTGATATATTTTCATTTCTCTTTCTGTCTTCAGTCTGTGTGGATGCAGTATTACAGAGAAACAGTGTCTCATCCTGACTTCAGCTCTGAAATCAAACCCATCACACCTGAGAGAGCTGGACCTCAGTGTCAATCAAATAAAAAACACAGGAGTGAATCACTTATGTGACGTACTGAAGGATCCACACTGTAAACTGGAGAGACTGAGGTGAGGAACATACAAGAATCAAAATGTTAAAATCACTTAGATTAAATGAAGATTCATCATTTCAATATCTTGTAAAGAACCTGAATTCACATTTTATTTTATAAATTTTTTCACCTTAAATTGTTTGCGAGATGATCTCTCTGTTCCTTTCTGTCTGTTTTTCTCTTTCTAGCCTAAATGAATGTGGCATTACAGATGTCACTTCTTTAGTTCAGTCTTTGGCTGGGACGAAAGCATTGCAGTTTTTAACAGAGCTTGATCTGAGTAAAAATAACTTAGGAGACTCAAAGGAGCAACTCAGAAAAGTGCTACAAGGCACAAACTGTAAACTGAGGTGAGTAAATGTCTCTGTGGGATTGAAGATAGATTTATTTCATTCTGATACATTAAAACATTTCATATATATGTAAAAGAAAACTTAAGTTTTATTGCAACAAAGGGCTTGTGATAGAGCAAAACATAAAATAGTGTTCAAAAGAGGAGAGGGTAGTGCTTAGTTTCTAAATGAATAATTCCTGGATCAAAAAGGCAATTAAAAGGCGTTGTGACTGATACTGACCAAACAACTTTAGGTTTCCCGGAACAATGACGTCACTAAACAGTGGTGAGCACAGCCTAAAAGAGCATTTATTTGTATTAATTTGAAACCACACAGCTGTATAGAACTGAACAATAGCTCTATTAATTGCATCAATGGTAGAAAATCATTATATAACATCTGACTGTTAATAGTAGACCGATTATAGGAAAACATTTCTACAGATTCCAGCTTCAGCTCATAGCTGTTTGAGCTTCCTCTGCTTTAAATACAGATTTGTGTTCAGTTATGTACTTTTTTGCTAACGAGAGGTCTGTAATCTGGATTTGTGTAAAAGGTGTTTGAGTTTGAACTGATTTTGAGAATTGCACACTTGGCGTTGCTTGAAGAATTTGCTGAATTAAAGTGTGAAAGGCTGTAAAGGAAAGATTGTGCAGAACGTCCTTATATGGAGATGGATTTGGCGTGTTTTATGCAAATGACGAACTGCACTTTAGGATACTCCAAATTCATTAACATTAAGAACAAATTGATTTGCATATGCCCCTGTTGTGAAGTTCTCTTTTGTGTGTAAATATGAATAATCCATGTAAAGTAATTCAAATACAGTATCTAATTTGCAACTTGTTGCAGCCAACACTGATTATTTTCTTTTCTCATTCCTCCTCACAGCCTAGAGAAAGAACACTGGTATAGTTACATAACTGGATTTTTTACAAGACAGTCTAAATCTCAGAAATCAGCAAAATCAGGAAGACTGGACCAGTCAACCTCAGGTGAGAGATCTGCGGAGGGTCTTGCTGTACACTGTAAAAAAAAATATATACTTTTTGGGATCAAAACAACCCAAACTGGCTGGACTAAATGAAGGACAGAACACATGTCGAGCTGACCTTACCCAGCAAGTTGGGTTGTTTATTTAACCCAGCATAATGGATAATAATTGATTATATGAATTCATTTTTTTACAATAATACTAGCTTTACGTTTTTATACTTGCAGGTTAACTTAAAATCCTCAAAACCTTTGTAAAATAAGCTGTACTTTACATATCTTAATTTATTTTCATTTAGTTCTGTCAGGACCACTATCGTCAAAGATGATTGATAATTAGCATACAGTTTGGATTGGCGGTATGATTCTGTTCTGGGCAAGAACTCCCTGCGCATCCATGCAGCCTAGCATGGATGAGAGCAGCGATAACCCCCCCAGGGTAAACAGAACAGAACCAACATAAATGTATTGCAGATATCGTTAAAGTTCAATAATTTTATGTACACATTTTAGAATTAGTCTGATTCAAAGGAGAATCAGAAGGCTGAATCCTGACTGACAGAGGAGGAGCTGGGGATGGAGAAGGGTAATTAGCTATTGAGCAATGAGAAAACTGCTGATAATACTGAGGGACCTTATATATGAATGCTTAGATAGGTGTCGTATTCCCATAGGTAGATGGGGATCAGCTGAGAGTCAGCTGATGCGAGCTTGACTAACGTGACCTGCCAGAACTAACGCTACGCTAGATATCTTTATATCTATCTTTCACAGTTCTTGATACAGCATATTTTATACTGTTTTTAACATACAGCATATTATATAAAAGTTTTTTCCTTAGTGTTGTTGTCACAATATAGAATAAATATCTGTTTCTACTTCATTGTGACCTTAACAGATGTAAAGATTATTATACTAACTTTTATGTATTACTGTTTAGAAATGATTTCTAATGCATACAGGTTGGAATAGTTTCAGACATTCACATTAATAATGCAGCATGACAGACATGCACGTAAGTGGTATTGAATGTTAGTTTAGAGTTCCTACAGATGAATATTTTGTTTTACTAACAGGTGGAGCAGTGGCAGGAGAAGAGTCTGGCCAGAGAACAGATGAGTCCAACTGGCAGGAGTCTGGGTCTTCAGTATAAGGCCTACAATCGTGATGTTGGGATTAAATCCATAATGGAGCAAATAATATATTGCTATAATCATGATTCTGATTGCAGTGGCGGCTGGTGGAAAATTTTCTAGGTAGGGTGCAACATCAAACAATTTTAGCATACATCCCGGCATGATTTATCCCAGTATAACAAAAGGAAAAGTATTAAGAGGAGCACAGGTGACACACTATCAACCAACCGATCAACCGGTGACTTCCGGTGTGGGAACGCTGTGCACGTCTGGCTGCCGCTCCGCACTGGGTTATGTGTTTGTTTGTGATCGTCTGTGTTCGCTACTTTACTACACTCGTTTTGTTCAGCAAACTGCAAAACTGGATTTACTCTCCTTGCTTGGCTGACGGACTTTTGGCAAACTGGAGTCACTCTACTGCTTCGGACTAGTGTACTTTTGTTGTTGACGCTGGGAACTCCTGGTTGTCGGCCTGCTGCGAGCCCTCTCACCCCTCTATCCATCATCTGCCGGTGATCAGTTGACCTGCTGTCTATCTTGTAACCCAATGTATAGATTAAGTTCATATTTTTGAGTTGAATAAAATCAAATAAATTATGTTAAAGGTCCCCTGAAATGCTATGGACAAAAGTCAGCCTGCTTAAAAATGGACACAAAGCCCTCTCGCCCTCTCTTACGCTCTCGCTCGCTCTCTCTCTCAAGACCCTCTGGCTTTCACTTTGGTGACAGCACTACAAACGCTCCCATGCCGTAACATATCCGCTTCTCAGATTTCAGCAAACGCAAGTACAAACAAATCTTACAGCTGCTGAAATGGGTGTTGAACTGGTGAATTGAGTTAAGCAGTAAAATGCCCTATAGATAACCTTAAGACTAACATATTGATACTAACACCCAAAAAACTTTAATTTTGATTTCATGGGGACTTTTAACACATGAGAAATTGTACATATTCAATAAAAATGTAAAAAACACTTAAAAAGGACTTCAAGGCTTTACTCAAGTGAAAACACTTTCATCATCCTCATGAATATGCCGTTTTCTCTCATATCTAAAGGCTGCAACACACCAGTTTTTGTTCCGTACTGAGTTATACAATCAAATCCTTTCATGATAACATACAGTATACATGCTGTTAATAATTTATCAGTTGTGCAGTGTGAGATTTATTGGTCATAACAGAACTTTGTGAGATCGCAATGAACAAAGGTGACTAATGCTTAATAAAGTAACTTGTGATGTTTCAGCTCCTCTTCTATTTTTTTTTTCTTTTACACAAAAGTTGTTTTGACATGTACCTACCATTAATTGGCTTAATAATTTCCAAAAAGCAATAAGAGCTATACAGTAAGCTTGTTTTTATATGAGCTTTTTGTTATTCATATCAGAATCTGCACTCCATTAAAAATATTAAATAACATATTGATATGTGAAGGTATTATGTGGCATCAAGAGAAAAAGCAGAATTGAAATGAAAACATTTATATGCCTGTTTTGTGGCTTACAGGTTTTCCCCCTGGTGTTCTTGTACAGATTCAATGTAAAAAAAATGCAGATTGAGAAGGAATTCCTTAACATGCATTTATCTTGTTACTGTTCACCTCCTCCATTTCCGATTTTTTTTTTATTAAAAAAGTGCAGTAATGCTTGAAAACTTAGACCTTTCAAATTGTATGTATTTTATCTAAATTAAATTAGTATTTGATTGTGAAATAGTGTTGTAAACTTAAAAAAAGAAAATAAATCAAATAAATGAATAAACCATAAAAGTGTTATGGGGCAACTGAGACGGTATACGTGCGGATCCATTTGCAAAGCTTTATTCTAAAACATAGTCAAAACAGGCAATGGTCGGACAATGGCAAACAGGTATATAGAGGGCAAGACTGAAGAATAATCCGAAACACATGGTCCAGGCGAGGAAGAAACAGTATCCGAACAGGGCGAGACGGGAGCGGTAATCCAAGACAGGCGATATATTCCAGGGCAGGCAGAGATCATACAGAAACGAGATATACAGGCTAGGATCAA